GTAAACATTGGGTGGCGATGCCTAAATTTCATTTTTCTGGGGGTACCACCTCTCTGGTAGGGGGTGTAACTGCCCCCATCACCCTAAGGCAACAGCCTCTGGGAGGGACTTTTGATCTTTATTTTTCCATGCCTTTTTTTTTTTTTTTTGGTAATTTTCACGAAGAACCACCTACATCTTTCTCTCAGAACATAAATACTTGAGAAGTGAAACAGCTCTTCCTGTGCCCGTGAAAAACTCATCTTATTTCCCCTACAGAGTGTAACTTAAAAATAATAATCATTACTGCTTAAAACCAGGAACCAGCAGCAGCACAGAAGGTCACTGAAAATTTTTAGAAGGATTTTGGGTTCTTTCCCTGTGTTTCTCTCATCTCTGGAAGTGTCCAAGGCCAGGTTGGACAGGGCTTGGAGTAACCTGGTCTAGTGGAAGGTGTCCCTGCCCATGGCAGGGGGGTTGGAACAAGATGAGCTTTGAGGTCCCTTCCAACCCAAACCATTCCATGATTCTGTGATTTGTCCCCATCGTGTCTGGAGCTTGTGCTGGGACATGGAAGGTGTGAAGTGACAGGGAACTTGTCCCCTGATGCACATCCCAGTCCCAGGGGAGTCAGCGTCAGGGGAGCTGAGTTTGGCCCTAAGGCAAGCACATCCCCTTGAGTGTGCAGAGAAGAGCAGGGCTGCTCAGGTGCCCCGTCAGCATTTTCAAAGCAGAGCTGCATTTTCATGAAGCTGAAAGAAATCAGGGGGAGAGGGAAGAGTTGAGCGAATTAATGCTCCATCAGCCACAAAATGTGGATTGCCGGGATCAAAACCTGAGCGAGGGCAATATTTGGATAAAAACCTGAGCAAAGACAATACCTGCCTGCGTGTGAGATGCATCTCTTAAACCAGTCAGCTCCTTGCTGCCATTCACACGCAGAGTTAATGCAAGAATTAATAGCTGCAAATTATGACTTTCCTCTTCGCCTCACTGCTGCTCGTAAGCACTTCAGGGCCAGCCAGAGATGGGGTGCACGGGGCTCCTCTGGCCACGGGGCATGTGGTGTGTGGTCCCTGGAGGAGCCCTGGCTGGTGCTGAGGGTGAGGAGCAGGTCCAGCCCTCGAGCCTGGCTGGGTGAGCCGGGCAGGGGCCGGGGAGATGCTGATGCTGCAGCTGCAGCCAAAGCTTGGCTGTGCTGGAGGGGTGCATGGCTGGGCGTGGGTGGCTTTAACTTTCCCTGTTTCCTCCGTGCTGCGGCAGCGGGCTGGGGCGCTGGGACTGCAGCAAAAGTGAGAAAGGAGAAAAGAGCGAGCCGAGGCGAGAAATGAGTCGGCGCTGCCGCCGCCCGCGGCTGCCGAGGGCTCCAGCCCGGGGGGTGCAGGCAGAGCCTGCAGTGGGTATTTGGGGTGAGCTGCTACTGCAGCATCTCCTGCTGTGACACCCCAGGGGTGAACGTGGCTGAGGGTCTGGGGCTCTGAGCTGGGAGGTGTTGCCAGGACCCCGAAACTCTGCAGAGCTGGGTGGAAGGCGAGAGCTCTGGGTCCCCGAGTGCCCCATATGGCAACATTCCCCTGGGAGTCCTCCAGTGAGCCCCCCTGGGACCTGATGTACCTAATAATGTCCTTAAAAATAGCACAGAATCACAGAGTGCTCTGGGTTGGAGGGAACCTTAGAGATCATCCAGGTCCAACCCCCTTGCCGTGGGCAGAGACACCTTCCACTAGACCAGGCTGCCCAGGGGCTCATCCAGCCTGGCCTAATGTCCCTGATATGTCCCTAACCACTTGCTAATTTGGGTTGATGGATGGGTAAAGAGCACAAGGCACAGTCCCACCGCTCACAGGTACCTTCCCCAGCAGCAGGGAGTGCTCGGTGCAGCCTGACCTTCTGCCTTTCATTCTGTGGCACGATGACTAATTTTGCAGTGAAGAGGAATTAATTCCTCATTGAATCAGCAACAGCAAAACTTGGTAGGTTTTGTTTCTCGTAGCCGACCACCCTTCGACTCATCTCATCTCGCCCCTCTGAGAAGTGATGTCAGAGCAAACACTCATGGGGCAGCTTGGGGCTGGACTGCAGGACTTTTCCTAAAGTGATCCAAGCAGAACAAAAAAAGAAAAACTTTAAATTTTTTTCTAATATTTTCACCCAGTTAAAAACTGAAGAGTTTTGCTGGCCATGGAAATTTTTTGGTTTAATCATTTCACTCAAGTTTTGACTTTTGACCTTCTGTGCTACATTTTGCTAAGATTGGCTTTAAAGTTTAAAAGAAAAATCTTTAAAAGAAAAACCTTCCATCAAGCCAGCAAAGTAAAAGCTTCTCATTTTTAGCACATCATGACTAAATACATCAGTCTTTAAAAAATGAATCAAAATGATTGCTAACACGAGGTGCTTTCCAGGTGATGTTTGATTATAATCTCACACGTTTTTCTATTGAAAAACCCTCATTCTGACCAAAACCCCCTCATTTATAGCTCTGATCGACCAGCAGCTGATATAATCCCACTGCTGCCCACGGCCAGAGCACGCGTGATGTGGGATGGGAGTTCCACTCGGAAGAAAACATTTACATCAGGTTATTTTTGTGGCATAAAACGCTGTCAGCTGCTAAGTCCTGGCTTTGAAAAGCCTCTTCAAGGTTCATGTGCTGCAGCTGATTTGCAGGAACGCAGTCTAGACCTTGCAAAAAGGAGGAATTGATCCCATTTCTCTGGCATGTGGATTTCTGTAGGCCAGGTGTGGTTTCACAGCACAGCTGTGGGGAGAGAAGGAGCTGCAGTCCTGGCCAGGGGATAAATAGCCTCTTGCAGAAATGTTTCTGGCCTCCTTCCTGAGCATCCCTCCCCACCAGATCTTCGTGGCTTTAGAGAGTAGAAAAGTTTTTGAGTGAGGGCAGGGCAAGTGCAGAAGGGCCGTGGGGATGGGCAGCCTTTCTTGCTGGTGCAGCATCTTGTTTGCCATCTGAACCGATGGAAAATCTGAGTAGCCGAGCTGCAATCTTCTTGTAGCACCAGGTTACCATAAAATCATAGAGTAACAGAATGATTCGAGCTGGAAGAGGCCTTAAAGCTCATCTCATTCCAACCCCCCTCGCCATGGGCCTGTGGATCAGCATCAGGACAGTTCATCTGCAGTTGTGGTGGTGTCTCCTGTCACTGCTCTGAAAGCTCTTCTCAGTCATCAGGCAGCAAGGCTGGTTGGTGGCTGGTGCTGTGCTGTGGATCAGGCACGAGGCAAACGGGAAGGGAAGGGAAGATCTGCCCTGCTTTTAACAGCAGAAATGCTTAAGTTTAGTTTTCAAAACAGCCCAACATCGAGCTTGCTCTGCTCCAGTGTCGTGTTCAAATGTACACGTAGAACAGCACATCCCTCATTTGGGCTTTGTGGCTCCTAAGTAAGCTAAGCCATAGCTAATTTTAGAAATATCGCTGAAAAGCTATTCTTTGTCTCATTTCATGGCTAAGAATAGAAAAAGCTCAGAGCTCCAAACATGTGTTTAAGTGAGCAGGAGCCAGCCCAGCACTGCTCTTCATGGGAAAACCACACAACCCATGGCCCTGCTGCAGGACAGGAACGCCTGCACCACACCAGTTTGTGCTGGGAAGGGGGCTTGCATTCCTACTATCCCACTGTGCACAGTAAACATACTACCCCTGTTAAGCATCAGGAATTAGGGTATTCATTCATTCTCGGATGCAAACCTGCATGCCTCTTGGTTTTTATTTGCATGAGCAAACCTTTGTGGGAGAGGCAGATGTGAAGTGGCTTCTCCGTCGGTCTGTTTTCCTTTCCGCTTCATGGGTTTCCTCCTTGGAGCAGGGATGCAAAACACAGGATTTGCCCAGGACTCCCAGTCTGCTGTGCAAGCAGCTGGGAGAGGTCCAGGACAAGTCAACCAGAGCCCTGTCTCTGTCTGTGCCACCTCCACCAAAGCCAGCTGGAGCTTACTGCTCATTCTGCCTGAGCAAAATCATCACCAAAGCGAAAGGCACTGGTGAATCAAGTCCAGGGATCCTAAATGACTTGTCACAAGTCACACAGCGAATCATCTGCAGTCTCTGGTGGAACCAAAGAGGTCTGGCTGGCAATGCCCACGGCTCTTAGCCCCTGCAGAGCTGTCTGACCTGCTGTGTTGCCATTTTCTCCCCGTTTTGGGGTCTCTCTGTCCCGTTTCTCCTTTCTGGATTTCATCTGGGACAAATCCTAACATTCCACCAGCAAGGCTTTTGCCCTGTCAGTTTGGGTTTAAAGGCAACCCTGGGCGAAACCAGGCATGTAGGGAGCAGCACGAGACGCTTGGGGCGAGGAGGCTGGTGTAGATGGCAGAGTGTGAGAGTGTGTGTGTGTGTGTGTGTGTGTGTCTGTGTGTTCCTTACAGCTCTGCAGCTCTTTGGAATAGGTTCCCCTCTCTCTGCTCCAACACACAGAAGCACTTCCCATTATGTTCACCAAAAAGAGCCATTTACAAGGTGCTGGGCTCCACAGCCACACTGTGTGTAACCAGGGGCAGCTGCAAGAGGAGACAGGTTTTTCTTTGCTTAGTTTTCCTGGGTTTGATGCATCCCCAGTGCTGCCTCAGCTCCCCCTGGTCCTTTTCCTGAGGGGGATTTCAGCCCAAGGGCTCTTTGGTGACCATGCCATGTTTTCATTTGTTACCCTCAGTGTTTAGTGGTGGCCTTGGCAGAGCTGGGTTATTGGTTGGACTTGGTTTTTAGAGGGTCTTTTCCAACCTAAGTGATTCTGGGATTCTGTGTCTGTCCCTGCGTGAGAGCCCTGGTTAGGAAAGCCCAAGAGTGGCTTTCAGAGTGAATCTGAAAGATGTGAGAGCTGCTGTCCCTGCTTTGTTGATGGGTTTTTCTTGCAGGGTGCTGTAATGTTTGTTTAGCAATTTATTCAGTGCTTTTAGTCATCCCCAGCCTCGCCTCCAACCACAGGACTGCAAAAGGGCACTGGCCCTTTCTTGCTGATGGATCCTGATGACTTCTGAGTGCCCTGCCTCCTTTTGTGTCTTGCAGTCCAACAAAGTTCCCGTTGTGCAGCCGTCCCACGGAGTCCACCCGCTCACCCCGCTCATCCCGTACAGCAACGACCACTTCAGCCACGGCTCCCACTCGCCCCACCTGCCCGCTGACATCAACCAGAAACAAGGTAGTGGCAGCGCTGGGGACCTGTGTGCTGGGAGGGGGGCAGGGCTGGAGAGCACTGAGAGGAAGGCTGTCACCTTCCTGCTCCCAGATCAGTGAGGAAAGCCAAGAGCTTTGGCCCGCTGGGGCATTGCTCAGCAGTAGGAGGTTATTGAGCGTATTGGTAATGCTTTGTGAGCCTGGGCAAGGGCAGTTTGGTAGCCAAAGTGCCAGCCCTGCTGGTGGGGTGAGCTCAGTTCTCTGTACAAGCTGTCCTGTACCTTGAGACCAGACCAGAGGCTGCGCGATGGTGTGCAAGAGTCAACCAGAAAATGGAAAGTAATCTTTCCTTTGACTCATACCCAAACTGTTGTCAGGTTGTCGTTTTGAGAAAATAAATGCTTGAAACAGGAAATATTTTGACTAAACAGGATCAGTGTCTGATAGCTGACTGGATTGTGACATGTGTGTCCCCGTAGCCGCACGCTGTGTGGTTGTCACTCGGTTCTTCGGGTTCCTGTGTGAGCTCAGGCCACGTCAGCTGGCTCTTGAGGCTACAGGGGAAAGTACAGTAGGCAGAGGTTAAACCCTGAACTGTAAAATATACCCTGAACTGTGAAAGACAGGTATGTGCAGAGGAATTCACCCCAGTCCATCATTCCATCGTTCTTCATGGGTTACTGGCAAACTGAGAGTAAAATCAGTCTTTTCTCAACCTGACATTAGTGAAGAACTTCTCTTCAGATTATCCAGGCTTTTACACAAACATGAGCTCGATTTCATGGGAAAGCAGGCAAATTCACAGTTTTGTGTCAAACCATATTCAGGAAGGATTTCAGGGTCCATCAGAGCCCAGAAATCAGCGCCAAACAGAGGCACAAAACCAATTGTAGTGATTTGGGCAAAGGCCTCCACCCAGGAGTGATCCAAACTGTCCTGGAGGCATCAGCTTCACCAGGTTAACATTGTTGATAAAACAGTGGGTTATCAAGGACGCTCTTGGCTGGAGAATTTGCTGAGTGATCCCTGGTCTGAACCCCCAGGCCACGTTCTGGACTCGCCAGGGATGGTAATGGGCAGGATTTAGGGCTGGTGTAAGAGAGACCCAGGCACATCCTGGTTGTCTTCCAAGTTGGGCAGCACTTTGCTTGTCACCCACCAGAGCATAATAAACTCAGCAGAAGAATGGGAAGAGTTCACAAAATAAACCTGTGAAAGCTGAGCTAACTGCAGAGTTTGAGTCTGGAGAGGAAGCCTGCAGATTTCTGAGTGTGCAGGGAAGGTGACCCGACACACCCTCCTTCCCTGTTCCTTGGCAGTGGCTGGCAGAGCCCTGCCCCTGTCTGTGAGCTGCCTGCTGGGACTCACTGCCAGCCTGGGAGCCTTAAGCAGTACAGGAGCAGCTCACCCAAGGCACGAGCTGGTTGTAATTGGTCAGTTATTCTGGGAAGCTGTCCTTGGGCTGCCCACCCACGTGTGCCCCCTGTCCCGTGAATCCTGAGCATTTACAGACACAGGGAGTCTGCCCCTCCCAGACGCCCCCAGGTCCTGTTTGTGGAGAGGTTCAGACCATCATCCTCAGCTGGGACCTGCCTCTGTGGTGCAGCTGTGATCATGCCCCATGCCTGTATTGCTGGGCGAGGGTTTTCTTCCCTGTTCCTCCTGGATGTGTCCCATCTCTGTTTGCATCACTGAAATAGCTCCCATTATCACCCAGTGCAAGCGCTTGAGAGTCACCATCACACTCATTCTCCCAGCATCCCTTTAAAGTATCTCACAGTAGCCCAAGGACACACAGACAAGGAAATACAAGCAGGAATTCTGAGTCAGTGGTTGGTGCCCCAACCACTGGGCCAGCAAGAATAACTTGTGCTCTGGCTTATGCAACTCGTATTGTTGGAGGTGCAAATCTCAGGATATTCCAGCAGCTGCCTGGCATGGGTGCTGGTTTTGTTTGACCCTCCAGTGGGCTGCTTGAAGCAAATCTCAAACTGAGTTATATATTCCTTTTAGGTCAGTGATATATTTATTTTAGCTAACTCCTAATAAGATGCTCAGAATGTGTTGGTGTCATTCCTAATTAATAATTTATCATCGATACACCTAAAAAAAAAATCCAGACTTCCGAGTTTGCGACTGCTCGCAGCTCATCACCAATTTATTCCATGTGTTTATCACCCAGGACAGCCAGTGGCCAGTCCCTGTCCCCAGCTTTTGTGTGAGGTAGCAGCCAGCATTACCCCCCTGTGCCTCAGAGCTCAGCCCCAGCGCCCCTCCAGCCTCCCAGTGCAGGGGTCAGCTGGAGGCTGTTTTTGCCAGCAGCTCCGTGGTTGTCTGAGTCCCACCCGCAGCCTCAGGCCCTGCAGGATGTTTTCCAGTCCAGGTGGAAGGGAGTGATGCTGGGCTGTGTCCCCTGGCCATGGTGCCCGTGCCAGCGGCTTTGAAGATCTCACAGGGATTCCCCGTGCGAAGGGTGAATTCCCAGCTGGCACCATACCCACCTCCACAGTTCCCTGGCACCCACAGAGCCCGCAGAGCAATTGTTTTGAACTCAAATTGTTTAAAATGGAGATAGAAGCGGTGCCTGCTGGAGCATCCCCACTGCCAGCTCACGGGGGGTCCTGCTGGTGGCTGCTGCAGACAGGGCATAGGAACGGCTTGGACCATCCATGGAGCACCTCAGGAGACTCCCTGGGAAGGGCAGAGGGATACCTGGAGTCGACCAAATCCTTAGCAAAGCAAGTTGCTGCTTGGCCTCAGGGTGGCACGGAGCAGAGATGGTGCTTGTGCAAGAACGAGCTGCCCTCCCCTCCGCCTTACCACGAGTGTTGGTGATTCTGCAGCCACGTGGGTGACCCACCACATCCCCTCGGAGAGAACCACAGCAAGTAAAGGGGAATTGCAATATCCTGCCACTTGCAGGCAGATATTTCAGATACAACTGTCCGTAGATGAAGCAGCCAGGGGACTGGGTTGGGAGTGGTCCGTGTCGGGGGGGAATGTGGTGCCGGGTCCAACTGATCTCCTTCTCCCTTCTGCCAGGAGTGCACCGTCCTTCCCAGACGTCAGACATCCCTGGTTTCTACCCACTGCCCCCCGGAGGAGTGGGACAGATCACGCCGTCGATGGGATGGTGAGTGAGGAGGGCTCTGCCCACCCAGCCCTGCCCGCCGGGCACCCTCCCCGAGGTGGGTTACAGAGCGGGCAGCGCTCCCGTGACCTCCACGGTGCTCCCCCCTCAGCCTCGTCCCTCCTGGGTGCTGGGTGAACAGGAACAAGGATGCAGCCCCGTGTCACACATGGGGAGCAGATCCATGGAGAGGCTGAGGGCTTCGTCCCGGCATCCCTGGAGAGGTGTTCCAGCCTGCCTGATCCAAAACTGCCTCCTGCCGCACCTCCAACTGCCTGTGTGGGTTAGGGAACCCAGGCAGAGCTTCCTCCCTATCCCTCCTAATCCCAGCAAAAGTCTCTCTTTTGAGTGGGGGGTAATTTTCTCCCTTGCTGGAGTTTGCAGCACAAACGGTGCTTTTCCTTAGCGTGCCACCAGCACAGTGTAATCCTGTGGGATGATCCATCTGCCAGGCCATGGTGTTTCTTAGGGTCTGACACACAAGGAAAAAGTACTCCATGGCAGAGACCTGCCCAGCAAACAACCCCACAGCCTGGGCACAGCACAGCTGGCTCAGTGGGAACTGCTGTCCCTGTGGGGGACAGGGGAAGGAGGGACCATGAGCTGGAGAGCTCCCAAAATGTGTCAGCCCTGCATGGGCCAGCCCTGAGGAGCATCCTGCAGAGCAGAGCCTGTCGGGAAACCTGCCCCAGGCACACAGGTTAAAAATCCACCAGTGTGTGCTCTGTGGTGGTGTCCCCTGGCTGTGTCCCCGTGACCGGGAGCGCAGCGGGGGAGCGGGGCTGGCCGGGGCTGCCGGGTGGGCACCGCCACTCCCCTGATTAATTTTTAATCCCCATTGAGGACATGGGGCATGGCAGAGGCTGACAGAAAGGGTGGTGGCTGCAGGTGGCAATTCACGGTGGCCAGGACAGGGGGAGAGTGCAGGGAGGGTGATGTGGGCAGATTCCCCCAGTGCTGAGGGATTTTTATCAGCAAAGCCCCACAGAGACCTTCAGGTACAAGAACTAATTGCAGAATGGGATAGGGGGCTTTTGGCTTTGTTTTGTTTATGAATTTCATGTTCCAGATATTTAACCACAAGGAAACAGAAGCTGAGGCCTTTGATACAGAGTTTGGCTTCAAAGAGATTACATTTTACCTTCTGTGCTAAATCTGCTACTCTTGGGTGATGATTTAACTCCTCAGATGATGTGATTCATCCTCAGGGAAAACAAGGACTGGGGTGACTGTGCTGTAACATGAAAGAAATAGTTGGGAGCTGGAGAGAAACGAGCCTGTTTGTCAGATGGAAGGTCCACTCCTGGGGTGGGATGGGATGGTGCTGCTCAGGCAGCCCTGGGCAAATGGAGTGAGAGCAGTCTGGCTTTTGTGGAGGTTTTTTTGGGCAGTTGGTGGTGGAGGGAGTTTGCATGGCTGAGAGCTTCTTCATCATCCACAGGGTTTGGCATCCTCAGCTGCCTTCATTAGTGACTAATAGAGCAGATATGGTTAAGCAACAAACAGCCTGACGTGCAGGGAGCAGCACCTCGAGGCACGTGTGCCTAACAGAGCTTTTGCTCGTTCTTTTCCTTGCCCAAAATTTATGGAAAGAGCCCCAAACTCACTCCTGGAGTGCCCAGCTGAGGCTCAGCACACCAGTGTGGGGGGTGCATAAGCACCAAATCCCATCAGGTTCATGGCAGCATCCCCCCTGCCTTGGCAGCAGGGCTGTGTGCCAGGGATGGTGATGCCAAGGATGCATCCCAGAGAAGCTGTGGATGGAAGTGCCCAAGGCCAGGTTGGACGGGGCTTGGAGCAGCCTGGGACAGTGGAAGATGTCCCTGCCGATGGCAGGGGAAACTTGAGATGATCTTTAGGGTCCCTTCAGCCCAGTCATTCCATGACTCTGTGCCTGTGCCAGGATGACCACACAGGAAGCAGCTTTTCCTGGAGTTGGCAGCAAGAGCTGGGCAGAAACGGGTTCTGTTCTCACCGAGCGCTTCGGGAGGAGGAGCTGCAGTCACTGTGTCTGTAATTAGCTGGGAGGACAGTCGGATAAAAGCCTCCAAGAGTCCAGTCAAGTGAGTTTTGCTCCTGGGAGCCTGGCAGTTCACCTTGGCCAGGAACCTGCACATGGTGTCGCTCCCCTGTGCCACGGCAGCCCCTGCACTGCTGTGCCACTGCTGTCTGAGCTGCCCCCCAGCATCTGGGGATACTGTGGAGAGACTGAGGGAGCTGGAGTTGTTCAGCCCAGAGAAGAGAAGACTCTGGGGAGACCTCCGAGCCCCTTCCTGTACGCAAAGGGAGCTTACAAAAAAGGAGATGAATTTTTTATGTGGGCACATAGTGATAGGACAAGGGGGAACGGTGTTAAACTAGAAGAGGAGAGAGTTAGATTAGATACTAGGAAGAGGTTCTTTACTTGGAGAGTGGTGAGGTCTTGGCACAGGCTGCTTAGAAAGGCTATGGATGTCCCATCCCTGGAAGTGTCCAAGGCCAGGTTGGACGGGGCTTGGAGCACCCTGGGCTGGTGGAAGGTGTCCCTGCCCATGGCAGGGGGTGGAGCTGGATGAGCTTTGAGGTGCCTTCCAACCCAAACCAGTCTGTAATTCCATGATATGATAGGCTGCAATTGTGCATTCCCAACCATCAGGGGCTGATTTTGCAACTGCACTAACTTGCATGTCAGGGGGACTTGGGATGAAGCTGCGAGTGCCCAGCCCTGTTCCTATCCCGGTGTCCCAGCCTCTGGAGGAGCCCAGGTTGCTTCTGGATTAGCTCTGAGTGTTTTCTCGGCCCTGGGGCAGCCGCCTCCAACTTCAAAGGCTGTTTGGGTTTCCCGGTGCGGCAGCACTTGGCTGTTTGTTGGTCTGTTTATACCCGCCGACATCTAAGGGGTGGGAGAGGGCTCCTGGCTGGCAGGGTGTAAACAGCCTTCCCTGCACACAGATCCTGCAGATTTCGGTCAAGCCGAGACACAGCAGCTCCCTGAGCAACAAAAACAGGAACCTCCTCCCTGCCCAGCATGGCCCGACTGCTGTCCCGCTGTCATTGTCCCTCTGCAGGGCAGGACCTTGTCTGTGACCCCGAAAAATCCCAGGAATCCAAGAGCTCGGGCCTTCCCGGGGCACCACACTTGATGAGAGTGGACTTTTGGTTATTAGAGCTGAAAATAGCTGGTGCTGGGTTTGGGCACAGCTCTGTGCAGCCTGGCCAGAGGAGCATGAGCACCAGTGCAGGTCTAAGTGCCCCATGGTGCCCCAGCCCTGGAAGTGTCCAAGGCCAGGTTGGGCGGGGCTTGGAGCAACCTGGGCTAGAGGAAGGTGTCCCTGCTCCTGGCAGGGAGTGGAACAAGATGGGCTTTAAGGTCCCTTCCAACCCAAACCACTCTGTGATTCTATGATCTCAGTTTCCACGTGCAGTCTTAGGCTGGAAGCATCTTTTGGTGGGTTTACAGAACAAGCCAAGGTATTTTTGAGCTATTTCCATATGAAAATGTGGGGGTTCCCTTGCTGGGAACAACAAGGAACTTCCTGCATAGTTATTTTACTATCTCAAAAATAATTTCCAGCGCCAGGTCTGGTACATGCCCAGTCCCCAGCGTGAAAACACTTCAAAAAGGAATGAGCTTCTGGCTGTTTAAAACTGATGGGCACCCTTGAAATGATATGCTGGGGAAATCAGAGTATTCCTGAATACAAGGGCAGAGTAGGTACTTTCTCTCCAGACACCAGGAAGTTCCTGTGCTTGGGCATCACAGAATCACAGAGTCACAGAATGGGTCGAGTTGGAAGGGAGCACAGAGGGTCATCTGATCCAACCTCTCTGCTCAAGTAGGGGGTCATCCTAGAGCACATGGCAAAGGATTCCATCCAGATGGTTCTGGAATATCCTCAGTGAGGGACACTCCACACCCTCTCTGGGCAATCTGTTCCAGTGCTCAGTCACCCACAGAGTAAAGAAGTTCTTGCTCATATTCATCCTCCTGGTGCAGCCTCTTGTGCACTGCACGGAGACTCTGACCAAGCTTTAGTTTTCTGGTCAAGCTGTGCTCTTTTAAGCAACTTCTTCTGTGCAGTAGCAGCTGATTTTTCAGCACACACCTCTGCATTTTGCGTTTTAACCAGATGAACTCAAAGCTGCAGTGCTGCTCAGCACCAGGGTCGGAGGGGGGTCAGAATTGAGTCCAGCCTTTGTAGGAAGTCCCAGGTTCTCTCAAAATAAAGCCCAAGTCCTGCAGTGCCCCTTGAATCCAAAGCACAGGCTGAGTGTCCTGCCAGCCAGGGGCATCGGTGCCCCGAGGTCCCCCTTAGCAAAGGGTATCTTTAGGAAACACCCCGTGGCTGTGGATACTTTATAGCCTCTTTCTTCCCGATCCCAGGCAGAGCCAGTCTGTCTATCCGCTCCCGTCATGTGGATTTAGACAGCCGTACTCGTCAGCGCTTTCTGCTGGGGCTTCTTTCTCCAGGTGAGTACGGGCTGTGTGACACAGGGCAGCAGCTCAGCTGGTCTCGCAGCTTGCAGTGTGTGCAGCAGGAGCTTGCAGCAGACCAGAGCCACCAGGGACAGCCCTGCACCCGCCCCGGGGCAGCCACGGGGAGAGAAGGCCCTTTGAGGCAGTGTCTGGTCCAGAGGGTGCCCGGGGGAATATCGAGGATGAAGGATGCTCAGCTGTTGGGTTGTGGTAGAGCAGAGGTCTAAACAGAGCCAGAAACCCCAGCCCTCAGCTCAGCACTGGGAAAAGGGGCTGGAAGCCACCGCTCAGGATTTTGCTCCGTGTCACTAACCCTAATCCTGGATGTCTCCCTGCTGCCACCACCACTGAGCTTGGCTCTGCAGGGACCGCTCTGTGTTCCTGGTCTCAGCTTTAAAAGCAGGACAGGCAGTGGGCAGTGATCTGCTGCTTTCCCATCGGGCACAGGTCAGTTCTGTGAGGCAAAAGCACAGCTTCTGTCTTCAGGGGAGCACAATACATCATTGTGGGTGGGCATCACAGAGCCCAGCCCCTCCAGGTGTGCTGCTGGGCAAAGCCCCCGTGGCTGTGTGGGGGTGTCTGGGCTCATGCACCGGCTTTTGCTTCTGCTTCGTGTTGTCCTGAAGAGCTGTTAGTGGAGATTTCCCACAGGAAAACCAGGCAAACCCTTCCTCGTGAGAGCCCTCAGCCAGGCAGAAACCTGGATCCCTGCAGTGCTCGATCCAGGCCGTTCATCCCTCCATCCACGGAGCCCCTAGTCCTGCAGAAGAGGGGAGGGAGAGCTGCCAGCCCTCCTTGCTCACGAGGCATCACCCTTGCACAGCCTGGAAGGCAAAGGCAGGAGGAGCTAACGGTTTCCCACGGAGCCCCTGCAGCCTCCCAGAGCTCCTGCTTGCAGGATTTTGGGGTGGATTTTGCAGCAGCGCTGCAGCCGAAAGAAAGTACACCTGGTCAGATAAGGATCAGACTGTGCTGGTGGATTAAATTAAACAGCTTTTCTTTTCGTGCCAGCATATCTAATGAACAGTTCATCTCCCATGGGCAATTCTGCCATCTCAAGCTGCAGTCATAAAGTGGCAAGCTTGGCAAAGCTGACTGTGCTGGCTTTACCCTCCAAAGCTCCAGAGAGAGCTAATGAAGCCTGAGAGCTAGCGAGACCTCTCATGATCTCAGCCTGTGCCGTGGAGAGCATTGCTCAGGCAAGGTGCACCTCCTAGAGTTGCAGCTGGGTTCGTGTTCAGGCTTAGGCTGTTTCTGTTAAAAGGAAGGTGTGGGGTGGTCCTAATCTCTCCCATCCAAAGCCCTGGTTGAGTTTGTTGTTTCTTTGTGCAGTGCTAGTAAGATATTGCAGCAACAGAGATCTGAGTGGCTGAAGCTGCTGGTTGGAAGCGCCCTCGGCCAGGCCGGCTCCGGCTGCAGGCGGTTCCCTCGCCGTGGCACCGGACCCGGGGTGGTGGGCACTGCCTGCCCCCTCCAGCCTGGCAGCACCCACCTGCTTTCCGTGTCCTCCGCTTCCCGTCCGCTTCCGCCACGTCCGAGCGCCGTCCCCGTGAGACGCTGCCCGGCGTCCCCGCAGCCCCGGCACGGCCCGGCACGGCCCGGCACGGCTCACCCGCTCTCTGTTGCAGGTTCACTCACCCGCTGATGCTGGGCTCCGGCATGCACACCACCGGCATCCCGCACCCCGCCATCGTGCCCCACTCCGGCAAGCAGGACATGGAGCACTATGACCGGAACATGTGAGTTGGAAGGGCAGGCAGGGCTCGGGAAACGGCACCTCGGCACCCGGTTCATTTATGGCTCTTAACGCCCCTTCTGGGGGCAGGATGGGTGAGATCTGAGCTCTGTCTGCACCTGAGGTGCAGATCTCAGGCCCCCCCACCTGCTCGTGCTGTTAGGGTGGTTTGGGGGAGGTTTTCTGCTGAGCCAGGCTGGAGGATGGCTCTGGTGCTGACAGCTCCTCCTTTGGTCCCACCAAGGAAACCTCAACCAGAACCAAAGAGAGAGAAGGAAGCCAAGAAGCCCACTATCAAGAAGCCCCTGAACGCTTTCATGTTGTATATGAAAGAAATGCGGGCGAAAGTCATCGCCGAGTGCACCCTGAAGGAGAGCGCTGCCATCAACCAGATCCTGGGAAGGCGGGTAAGAGCTCGTGGGCCCAGCACCGTCACCCCAGCGCCCCGTCCCCATCCCTTGCAGCTGCTCCTCAGCACGTCACGAGCATCTGCTTCGAGACTGGGTGCTCTTATCCCTTAAACACTCCGGGTCAGCCGTGGGTGGGGAGGGGCGGCGGGGCCGTGCCTCGTGTCTCACTGCCCTGTGTGTCCCTGCAGTGGCACGCGCTGTCCCGGGAGGAGCAGGCCAAGTACTACGAACTGGCTCGCAAGGAACGGCAGCTCCACATGCAGCTCTACCCTGGCTGGTCTGCCAGAGACAACTACGTGAGTGCCCGCCCTGCTCGGCCCCCCTTCCCTTGGCATGGCCCGAAATAAACCCAGCTGGTGTTTGCCAAACAACCTGCCTGGCCCTGGCAGTGCCGCTCCTGGTGGCACCAGCGCTGTGGGAATTCACATTTCGGGAGGATTTTGAGCCCCTTCCCATCTTACTGCCTGTGTGTAGGATGGGTGGTACAGCCCCAGCTGCCACAGGTGTTTGTTTGCTTATTGTCCAGGCAAATAGAAGTAGTAAGGAAGGGGGAGCTTTGAGGTGATGGGGATGGTCTTTGGAAATCCAGTTTTATGGAAGCACACTGCTTTGTGCATCTTGGGCAGCAGCTGAGATATCTGGGAGGGTGGGCAGGCCCTGGCACAGGTTGCCCAGAGAAGCTGTGGCTGCCCCTGATCCCTGGAAGTGTCCAAGGCCAGGCTGGACGGGGCTTGGAGCAGCCTGGGCTGGTGGGAGGTGTCCCTGCCCGTGGCAGGGGTTTGAAACAGCATATGTTTAAGGCCCCCTCCAACCCAAACCATTTCAGCATTCTGTGATTTAAAATAGTGACTCTTTTTGAAGAGGGTTTTTCCTTGTGACTTTCTTGAGTGTTCTGATATCACATGCCCAATGAGCTCATTAGAGACCTGAGGCAAAGCACACATTAAGTCTTCAGATACCTGTCCATCCACTCAAGGACTCTGTCCCATTGATCTGAGGCTCCATCATTTCCCTCACAGACACTTTCTTTCCCCTGGAAGCTGCCCAGTGAGCTTCCATCCATCCCACACTGCCCACAGCCCTCCTTCCAGAAATCCCAAACTCCACCGAGGGCAAGAAAACACCCTTCAAGAGCCCAGAGCACCCCAAAACCCCCTAAAAAACAGAGGGCAGAGATGATGCAGAAAAAGCAGAGGTGATGGGCACACATCTGGAGGGCCATTACCACCTGAAGGACATGGTACCAAGACCAAGCACACCCTCCGTGGAAATCTCAATCTGTATCATCATTCATCTGGTTCCTTGGGGAATCACGGGCTGGTTCCTTGCTCCAGAAGGTGGATATTGGTCCTCCCAGCATTGCAAACCAGCTGTTTTGGGTGCTGTGGTTGTTGAAGAGATGCTGTTCTCTGCGGAGCTCGAGCAGGGAGGAGGAGGAGGAGGAGGAGGAGCAGGAATGTAGGTCACTTCTGCAGCACGTGATGCGGATATCGGGCAGGAAATACAGTTGCTCCCCCAGTGAAGAAACAGCTCACCACAGCTCGGAGCTTTCCACCTTCACTCAAACCACAACAAGTCATATAAAAAGTCACGGGTCAGAGGCAGCCCTGTGAGCTGCTGCTCCTCACAGCCAGATTTGCTGCTGTGCCCTCATTAGCGGCTCATTAGGGCAGGAGGGGACTTGCTGCATCTTGTGAATCAAGAGAGGCGGTTTGGGGATAAAATAGGGTTTGCCTGTTAGTGAAAGAAGAGTGAGAGATGGGTCTAGAGCTGCCAAAGCACTGAAATAGGTCAGTGTTATTTGAAAAGAAATTTCTGGGGATTTCCTTAAACTTTCTTTCCCGTTTGAAATCAGGGAACGTTAAGGAGCAATTTCTGCTTGGGTATAAGGGCACCACATTAAAGCATGTTTTGGAGACAGGGAAGGTGCTAAAATGGGCCAAGGGCTTTTCAGAAACATAAGGAGGGAAGAGGAATATGGCAGGAGCATCAGCTGTTGACAGATGAGGCTGAGCAGTCCCTTTTCAGCCCTTCCCTGTTCATCTCTCCCTGGCATGGGCTGAGCCAGCAGCACTGTGGCTCTTACCACATCTGGTCACCTGTGGGGCAGCTGCCATCCCCAGCACCCAGTCCAGCCCCAAACACCCTGCACAGCACCCTCGTTCTCCTGGAGCAGGGATAACAGCCTTTCCTTTGGTTTCCCAGGGGAAAAAGAAGAGACGGACACGGGAAAAGCAGCAAGATTCCAACTCAGGTAAAGGCGTGCGGGCGGTGGCTGTCCCCCTGTTCCCCCTCAGAGGGGACAATCCAAAGCAGTTGTTGTGTTTTACTGTGTTTTCCTTTATTCTCCTGAGCTTAACCGAAGAAACACACATTTGTTTTTTGTTTTTTTTTTAAGTCACGGCAAATTAACATTTCTGCGACTTCTTCATAGACGTGTTCAAATTAGAACACGGGGAGTGGGTGAAAACTGATCAGATCAGATTTTGGCAACTGTGTGACTTGATATGAACTGTCACTAAGGGTGCACGTTCCCATCAGACCAACAGGTGTCAGTAATTAAGGAAAACTCTCAAATGCACCAGCACTGTGGGTGGGGTGAAATGCAGTGACAGGATTGAAGATCACCCATGGGGCTACCCCAAGTTTGGATTTCATTTCAAAATAACCAAGAGTTGAAGCAAAGTCACACTAAAACCCAGTACCAGCTGCCTCCCTGCATCCCACTGCTGACGAGGAAAGGCCCTTTTGACAGATTTCAGATGTATCCTCATCACCCAAGGCTATTCCTGTGCTGATTTCTAAAGCATTTCTGCCATATCAGGAACAAATAATATCTGTACCAATGAATATTCATCATGAGCCATTAAGAGAACTGTCCTTGCCCACTGTGGCATCATGTCTACAGGAAGTTAGACAGCCTGTTTTTGCCTGTGTGTCCATTCTGGAATTGCCTACAGGGTCACAAAGAGCTTTTCCCACTCTCCAGCTCACCATTACTGCTCACTGCTCTTACTGGTGGATGAAACTATTGTCTGTGTGATGCAAAAATGATAATGGATTGAAACCAACTGCTGGTCACACACAACAGCCTGAGAGAGGGAGGCTGAATCCAGCACAGAAATGTGCTGTTCAAATCCCATTTACAGCACTGGAGAAAAACAGGATGTGCCTGAAAGCAAATCAGGCTTCACCCTAACGAGTCCCATAATCAAACAGTGACACTGCAGCGTTTTAGGGAAGGCCATGGAGAACAGCTTTTCCATTAAAACTGGGAGGGGGATGATGGGGGGCAGAGTGCAGTAACCTGGCCTAGGTCTCCTTGGTGCTAACTCTGCTTTCAGCTGCTTCTGCAACGTTTCCTCCTCTTTCTTCCGTGCGCAGTCCGAGCTCGCTGGCAGCCCTGCTAGTGGCTGCTGGGAAGGCAGGGAGCAGGTAAGGATGCAGACACAGGAGCCAGGTGGTGCCTCTGGGACTTGGCAGCCTC